AGTGTGATTCTTCAGGATGCTCGTAATATAAGTCTTACCCTCAAAATAAGCCCTAGTTAAGTGAAACCCCACCCTCCATCATTGGGCAACAACCAGGAGAAGATGACATGACTGTATTTGAATAAATATAGATTGTTGTACATGAAAAATAAAATAAAACATATTTATTACGTTTATAGCCCACCCATCTAGTCATACAGACTACTCTGGGTGGGTAACAACATATAACAAATTACAGTTTAAAATCATAACAATATATTACTAAAAAACCCACAGTGATTCAAAATGGGAGAAAACACAAGAAACAAAATCATACAGTGGATGGAGGAAAGGCTTGCTTGAACAGCCAGGTTTTCAATTGGCATTTGAAGATGCCCAGGGAAGGGGCCATGTGAATCCCTGAAAATAAGGCCTAATGCATTTTTTTGGAGCAAAAAATAATATAAGACCCTGTCTTGTTTTCGGGGAAACACGGTAGCACTTTAATGTTTTATGAAGTAGAATATTGCTGTGGAGGTGCAACCTACCTCTAAGCTGTGATACGTTGCAGAGGTTCCATGGACACCAACCCAGAATTCAGCCTTAGGATGAAGTAATTAGAAATGAAGAGCATTTATTAATATATACCTACAGGCTAAACATAAATGGAGGTTAGCACCATGAACACTCCCACAGATATCTCGTTCTCTTGTGATTATTCGGGCAAAGCATACTGTCACAGGATTTCTTCAAAAATACTGGCCATGAAAAGAAGACAGATTCATTCTTGACACAGAGACCTCACTCTTTCCATTCTGCTGTTTAGGGAAGGACAAGAAGAAAGGTCACCTTTGTCTACAACCTGGGTCTGAACGGGCAAGTGTAGCTCTCAGAAAGAGACATAACAGAAATGTGGCCAGGCATCAAACACCATTTGATTTTAAGAGGTATAGCCACAAGCTACTCACACTCATTACTCAAGCACTGTAATGCTCACAGAAATCACACCACCATAGTTCCCATTGTAGAGAAGGTAGACATTCCAGTTTACCTCAGCGATGACTTTGACTGCACACATATGTAGTAAAGAAAAAAAGAAAAAACCTTTTGACTGCTACCGGGCCGTCTCCCATTAGTGCTGCAGTCACAGAAAAGATGGACCCTGACATTCACCTTGTGCACACAAGCTATGAAAGGCCGAGACGGATCCATCCGCGGTGACACAGAACCACAACTGAAGGACTTTAGTGACAAGTTGCAGCACAGACAGACCAACTGAACTTTTTGTTTAAAATGTACTTATAGAAAAGCAAGCTGGCTCCCAGAAATCGATCACTAAAATTAAAACCCCAGTAATGTCACATGAAGGACTTGCATTAGACCTGTGACTGTAGGGCAGGGTTGGCTACATGTGGGACACAGACAGGAAACATGTGAGTCCCTGCCTCTTTCTGCATCTGCTGCTTCCCCCTAACTTGTTGCCCCCTCTGCACATCTTGTTTTTGAAATCAGTAGTATACTTGAGAGTGAAAACAAGGTGCTCCCCCTCATGTCTTAAGAACAAAAATATAGCTTCTTCTTTGTTTTGATTCTGCTGCTGTTGCCCCCTCACCCTCACTCCCTTCTCCATGTTTGAGATGTCATTCTGAAGTTGGCAGCAGCAGCTGACCCACCAACTCTGCTGGCTGTGGGGATTTCCTCTACAAAAGTGATGTGCTCTTCCATTCTGTTTCCTTGACATGTCCTTGGATCTTCAGGTTGATGTCTTCACAAGAACAAAGGTAGGGCCATGCTTGCTGTACATTCTTCATACTGTTCTGTCATGCCACACAGTGTCTCAAGAACTAAAATAAAAGCTGGAGGCATCCCCATACTTACTGTTTTTAAACTGGGTGCTCATCTCTTACCAGCTTTTACAGCTTGGAAAAACATAACAGGATTTTTAAAAGAAAGTGTGTGAAACAGCAGCCCGTAATGATCAATGTAGTAAATTGTACCGAAATAATGTTTTTCCTATTCAATAACACTTGTTTTAGACATCAGTTACTAGTCTCTATTAAGAAATACAAATGTTTACATTTACTATTCTATAGGGCTTCAACTTATTCTACACTGTCTCAGAGCAAGTAATGATAAACACATGATACAGAGAAAATGGCACTGCTTGATGATCAAGTGGGATATTTACAATTTCCTGTGGGTCTTCAAAGGCTGATTTCCATTTTAACACAATGAAAAAGACAGTATTTTCTGGCCAAAGCTTTGAGTAAGTACTTTTTCTGGATTTTATCTCCAGAATCCTCCCGTCAACATGGTCAGGGCATTGTGCAATGATGATCTTAATTAAAATGGTTTAATTAAGTACTCTGCATGTTTATTGATAATAATATATCAATTATTTTTCCATGGGTTGGAGTCAGGAAAAAAAAAGTAGCAGCCTGCTTGTGGGATGACCCTTCTAAAGGTGTGATTGGTTGGGAGGAATAAAATGTTAATGATTCTTCTCTCTTCCCCCAGTCCTTTGTGCATTCAGAAAATTGGACCCAGAGGCCCAGGGGACAGGGAATTTTTTAGGTGGCATAAAAGAAGAAATTTCAAGAAACCAGCTTCCTGCTTTCTGTCCCTCCCAGAAACTGAAGTTTATAGAGAGGGAACTTTTCGATCCAAGCCACAATGTGTAAAAATAATACGACAACTGCATTAATCCACCTCTTTCCTTGGCATGTTACAACACTAAGAAATACTTCCTTTACAGCTGCCAAAGCTATTAGCTAAATGTATGCTTAGTTTGCCCTAAGCTATTTATTTCCCCTGCATGCAAATTATTTTTAGCAATAAACCAAGTTTTGCTTTATGGTGCAATTAATCCAGGTCGGTCAACACTTGACTTTTGAACTAAGTTGTTCTTATTGTTTCATAAATCACCTTACTACTTCATAAATCTAGTCCTGTTGTAAATATAATGGGTATCTTCACATTAATCCTTTGGAAAGAACGCTGCTGCACTTCTTTTTTTAAAAAAATAGAACAAGTCCCATGTTACACCTCTTCCTAAAAACCATATAGGACTGTAACAAACAGAAGTTCAACCTGCTGGTTTTGTATTATTTTTTAAAGATTTGCCTGTTCAGTTGGCTTAGACACAATCATCTACAGTGGTGCCTCGCTTAACAAGTTTAATTGGTTAAAAAAACCCATCGCTATGGGAAAACATCGCTAAGCGAAACGTGTTTTCCCATAGAGATGCATTGAAAACCGGATAATCTGTTCCAATAGGAACGGATTATCCGGTTTTCTGCCCCATCGGGCACAGCGCTTTGAGATAAGCCTCCCGGTGGGGGAAAAAGACCGGATTGGCTCCTGCCTTCTCCCCCACCATCCAGCTTCTCCCAAAGGGCTATCCTGATGGTGCTTGCAGCAGCGGAGGTGCCCGGTGGCGGAGAAATGCCAGATCGGCTCCTGCCTTCTCCCCCACCAGGCACCTCCGCCGCTGCTGC